GGGGGCCGGGCGCCTGGGGGGGGGTGGGAGGTTTTGGAGGCAGAGGCAGTCACTGCTGGCAGCGTGGTGGTGGCCAGGCCTCCAATTAAGTGGCAGCGCTGCGTGCAGACTCAAGCCCTGCCCCCCCTCCCACCCCACGTATAGTTGAATTTGCGCAAGTTAAATGCGCGTATGATGCAACTGACCTGTATTGCTTGCTGGATGGGGTCTCTGGAGGCAATCCAGATACAAGTGATTTAATGGAACAAGGCATGAAAGAATGTAAATAAAAGTGCCAAGGTGTAAGATTCTGGGAAAGCAGGAAAGAACAGAGAAGGTAAGAGATGCATTCAGGTCCACAGCCTTAGCTGTAGCTTAAATATTCCTAAAACTAAATATAACATTCATTCTTAAGCAAAATGCTAAGCACCATATTCAGTTTAAATCATGTGCTTCCTTAAGCAAAATTTCCAAAGATTCCAGGGGCATTTTGTTTGAAGAAATGCTAAATAAAAACTGAGTAAGGATTTCTTAATAAAAATCTTATTTCAGCAGAACACTTTCCACTAATTTCACTGGAAATTAGCATCTAGTGCATTAAAAAGTTAGTCACTGTTTTCTCATTTTGCAATTTCTTTGTATTCAGTCAATTTGCTAATGATTATGCAGAAAGTCAGAAGTTCCTTACAAATGGATATCTGGAAAAAAAGAAATTGGAAGACTATAAAGAAGAATATGTAAGTTTATTATTAGTTTTTAAGTAATAGAAACATGAATATTGGGAAATAAAAATCATCTAGCTGAGTCTCTGAAAAAGTTATTTTGAAAGATATATATTGAAAAAGTGTTATTCTAAAGTATATTCTGTCTATTCAGTTTACTTCTGTTTTCAAAAGCAGGGTTATATATGTTTTTATGCATAGTATAGCGTCATGTGTCACTAGAAGTACTATGCGTGTCTCTACTCTGATTATAAAAATGGTATGATGAGGTTCCATGTTTAACACACACAAATGATTTCTTAATGAAACCTGCTCTATTTACAAGTAAAAAAGAGGTTTTTGGACTCTCAGCCTTAAAGATTCCTTTGTCCATATTCGTTCTCAACTCCACCTTTGCAATCCCATTGTCCCAGAAGTTGTAACTGTCACCCATCAGCGAGTTTGCACATGTTTTACCAAGGATAGTGTTTGGTCCATGGGAACTCTGTTACTTCTGATGGAAGACAAGAAAATAAGCCAGCTTGATTGTTTAAATCCAAAATTCAAACTTTTAATAGTTAGAGAAAAATCTTGTAAATTGAGCAAACAAACCTGGGCCCCAACCATTCCTTTCTTAGAGTCACATTTCAGTGTACAACCAAACTTCAATGCATCTTGCTTAGAACAGTGGGGCCAGATGTGATCATCTTTACACAAATCAGAGGCTTCAGTCATGCAAATACACATTTAACTTTATGCATCATGGGCCATCCCTTGAGCTATTAGGAAATTCTCCCATGCGCAGAGTTAAGGATGTGTCCAAGCATTTGCAGGATCAGGGTCTTAGACTAAAACATCTTTAAGGTGGACTGTTTCTGCATCTGGCTTTTTACAGTCCCCAGCATACTGCTATCTTGATAAAGGGCTCTGGGCCTCAGGGTAATATAAATATTTAATAATTCCAGGACTCTGCTGAAATCAGTGGAGTTCCTTAACTAGTAAAGCAGCATGAAGCACTGTTTTTTTCTGCTGTGGTGTCTTGATACTTATCTTCATTCAAAGTTTATATTTAAGGCTGTTATAAGCCAAAAAAAAAAAAATCCAGTTAATTGAAAATGTCATTTTTGTTGAGTAATTATAAACATTACTTGCAGTTTTTATCTCATTCATTATTATGGATATCATTTTCCACTTGCTTTGGACATAAAAAGAGCAATGGTGCTGCTGCTGCAACCATTTATTCTTATGACTAGTACTTGAAGTGAAGGGGAATTCATCTGACAGTAAACATTCTCAGGATCAAGCACATGGGAAGACTATCTACATCACTCAAAATGACACTTGAGGGTTAAAAAACAGCAACTAAGAAAACAGCAGTTTTACATTGCCATCATTAAAGCACAAAATTAATTTCCATTTTCTTTTGTTGTTTCCAACAGCATCCAGGAACTACGTCCTTTGGAATGTCCGCGTTTAACTTGAGCAATGCCATCATGGGCAGTGGCATCTTAGGGCTGTCATATGCCATGGCCAACACTGGAATTATACTGTTTGTGTAAGTCAATGAAAGGGGGTTCAAAGGTAGAGCAGAAGATAATTAGGATGCCAAAGCCAAGGCTTCTGTGGTTGAATAAAAATGTTTAAGAACACATTCTGTGGTTAAAGATATCTGCAAAGTCTCCATCATTGGAAACATTTTAATTGTATTATAAAAATCTGTCTAATGCTGATAAAACTCTAATTCCACCTATGTTTTGAGTTAGACTGTATTGTGTGAATTCGTACTATCCTGTAAATGCCAGACTGGAAAGACAGCTAACTTCCCTTAAAATAACAGCAGCAGCAGCCTCACTAGTTCAGTACAGGCAGTTCCACAAAAGCAATACATTATGCACTTAATTATAACCATATAATCACTATATAGAAATGGAGGCAGAAAACCCACTGGTTGTATAGACCTGAAATACATTTTTCAGCTCAAGCCAGTTTTGAATAAAAAAGCAGCTACAGATTTATTGAGACTCAATGTTAACCACTCCTTCAAATCTATTTGTAGCCATATGCTACTACAGATGACAGCAGTGGCATGTAGATGACATACAGTATCTATACAGGATATGTTTTGATAGACAGCAGCAAGTGTGTGCATGCAGTTTTTAATCTATGTTCAACCCTATCAAGGTTGAGGGGGAACATTCTGAAGAACTGTTCCACTTCAATAAGTGGCTTTAGTTTTATAATCCAGTTATTGGCTTCAGTCCTCTTTGTTTAGTAGAAGGCCTAGCATGCTGCATTAGCCATTATTTTACATTGCTGAAGACAAGTACACCTTCAAATCAGTTTGCAGGGCTTTTTCTGTGCCTGTTCCCTTAATTTTTTTAAGTTACGTACCAAAAACTCAGAAAGCTTGCTTTGAAATGTGCTGAGGCTGAAGTTGTTAATGGCATTTCCTGTTTTTGCCTGTAGAATCATTCCTCAAAATTAATTTTGGATGCAAATGCTACCAGTTCAGCACCTTCTAATAGGAGGTTAAATACCTTAGAGATAGCAAATGAACCTGCAAAAGTAAAAAGTACTTATTAAAATGAGTACTTTAGTACTGAGAAACTTCAAAAAGCTTTTTAAGAACTTTAAACTTGAATCCAGAAAACTGTCAGTACTATTGGGCAAAAAAGCCACTGTATATGAGCCCAAGCTAGAAAAAAATTCATTATACTGTAAATCCATACTGTTCAGGTTCAGCATGTTCATAACTGTGGCTACAAAAAAATCATATTTAATATATGCACAGAGACGTAAACCCAGTTATGTTAAAATTTATTGGCAGCCATCAAAAAAAAAAGTCAGGCTTTGCCTGAGGTAACATTTAAGCAAAGCAATAGTGTTCTGTATATTAAAGACAGACATAAACCCCTTTCTCCACCCAGCTGCTCATTTACTTTCCTGTCATAGTTTCATACTTTGTGGATGAGAACATTCTTCTTCTCATGGGGTAAAGTCTTATTTAAAAGTGGAGAACTATGTGGAGGATATGGTTACTTTGATGGCATGCATATGTTTGCTATACATTCTTCTGTTTTTATAGAGCATGACTTCATCTTTTAATGGAACTGAAAACTTCCATTTGTTAATAGAAAAAAAAAAATGAACTAATCTTAATTCAGATTATATTTTACTGTGTTCTCAGATGGCCCTAATATTCTCTTTCTGGGAGATTTTTCATAGAAAGGGAAAGGAAGGCTCCTATAACTAAGCAAATGTATTCTTCCCTTGTGGGGAATAGATTCGCAGCTGTATTGAGGAGACACAGGCCTTGCAATTCAACAGCAATAGAAAATTTACTGGGAACTTTGCTCCCAACCTCATACAGATCCCAAGTGAACCTGACAGTACACAGGCAGTTTATAATCCTGCTTTCTTCTTGCAGTGTAGCTAATTTAATAGCTTTCTATCAGTGTTTTGTTATCTGTATTAAACCCATATGGTAACAATCTCATTTTAACAGAAATCTGCTAGTTAACAGCCGTGTAGTTTCCTAGCCTCAGAACAGCATTCTAATACATCTCCGAAAATCTCTAGCAGGCTGAAGGAAGAATGGTATGACAAGAGGGTATACTGCCCAGAGGAAAATGCCTTAAAGTATTAGTTTCTTGGGCCAGCAGTTCACAAAGATAGTGACCACTGAAATAATGTAAAACTGTAATTGAATCTGAAAGAAGCAAGATGATAATCAGGATTAAATCTGTTTGGACACCACTAAACGATAGCATACAGGAGAGTGGCTGCTATACACTTGCTAAAAAGCAAGATTTCCAATGTCATATGATGTCATGCTCTATACTAGCTTTATGAAATATCTCCTAAAAAATAAATAGGTTTTTAAAGTTAGGCTCTATAATGAGGCAGCTAAGTGTCTTGATTTTCAAAAGTACTGGGTGCCCAAAGGTTTAAAGTTGTTACATTTTTTATCAGTTGATTCAAAGGTTCAGTATAAGGAGAGGGGTTAAAATTATCTGCCAATAAGTGCATGAGAGTAACATCCTGAATCCAGCACAATCTATCTGTGTGTAGCCCAGATGGTTTTAGCAGGGCTCTGCTTGGGGGCCGCCATCTGTATTTGCAAGACTGACATAAAACCAAAGCTCAAATGCATTTAACTCTCTAGACAAAATATTAAATTATGTACTATACCTATAACATGCACATTTAACTCAGCACAGAATGTGTAAATAATAGCCTATACCAGTAATTTTCAGCCAGTGTGTGGCAACACTCAGGGGTACCATGAAGTCCTTTTAAGGATGCTGCAGGTCTCCGCACAATATTAGCAATGTTAAGTGTGTAAACACCTACACACAATTCACAAGATAAACTCAGGGATTTCAAGTAGGAATCCATAGAATCATCAAGATTCTGACCCATTGTGGACTTTCTGAGTTGGCTACAATAGAAGAATTGTTCTGTTATTTTTTCATAGTCAAAAAATGAGTGAAAGCTAAAAATTGGCACTTTCTGGGGGTGCCTTGAGTCTAAGAAGGTTAAGAACCACTGGTCTAGACTCACATCTGCATTTTGCATGAATCCAATAGTCACATACTCAAATTAACCTAGGGAGAATGTATGTGTTAACATAATATAAACTCATGGAGAGCCATACAGTACAAGTCAATTTAGCATTTTTTTTTTTGCTATCTGCAGGATTCTAATTTGTGTTCTGTCTTACAGAGTCCTGCTGCTCAGTGTAGCGATATTATCACTCTACTCAGTTCATCTTTTATTGAAGACAGCAAAAGAAGGAGGTATGAGGAACAGTTTGCTAAATGAAAGCTCAAATTGCATGCACATATTTCTCTCTTAAAAGTGATTAATAAACTATGTTTTTGCAATGGATCATGTTTCCTTTTGTTTTTTCCAGGCTCAATAATATATGAAAAACTAGGAGAAAAGGCATTTGGATGGCCTGGAAAAATTTGTACTTTTATTTCTATTACAATGCAGAATATTGGAGGTAAGGATGAAATGTTCACATAATGAAATGTTTGAATCAATATTTTTTCTTCAGAATAAAATACACACTGACCTTTCTTGGTAAGCACACCCTCATGTCTCTAGAGTAGATGCCATTATGGACTATACATGGTCCAATATATGATCCATGATCATGTTGGTAGCAAAAGCAATTGCATTACTTAGACTTCATACAAGGCTCTTCACAATGCTCCCAGTAGCTGATTTTCCACCTAAACTGTTTCCGTATAAACCATGTTTTATTTTGAGCTTGGTCCCGTGAAATGATGAACACACTCAACTCCCACAGATTCAAGTAACAGTCTTCTTTTGCTGCCCAACTTCAGAGCAGATGGGGGCTGCACACCTTGCAGATCATGGGCCCTGGGCTGCACACTATGAGGCCTACATGCTCCAGGGACCACACATGCTGGTGGCTCCTGGAGACCCTACCATGTGCGGTCACCCCACCACATGAAGAGCATGTCCCCACACCCCCTCCCTGCCCTACCTCACCAAAGCTACCATGCAGACTGCACAAATCCCCTCCACTACATGGACAGCAAATTTATCTGGCCCGCACCAGCCATGTTTCCCTGTCCCAGAAACCCTGACCACCATTGCAGCAGCAGGAGCAATGTGGGGAGTGGCAGCTAAGCAGGAGCCGGCAGGCCACAAATAACCCCTACAGGCCTGATCAAGAGTACTCAGCACTTTGCAGAATCAGGTCCCAAGAGCTCAGTCCTGAAGCTGTTGTCCACAGATGTGGATACCAGATATTGGCTGACAATCCCTATAGGCCAGAAGAACAAAAGTGGTTTGACCCTTACCGTATAGCTGTGGTTCTCAAGCTCTTTTAGGTCACATACCCCTTTTAAATTTGTGACACTGACATGTGGCTCTCTGATTCCATGTTACACCTTGCCACCACCTTAAAAGACTTAGTGAAGTTATTCTTTATTTTATTCATTTTATTTTCTTTTCTCGTTTATATTTCCCCTTTTCCTTCTGCTTTCCCTTTCCCTTCCCCCACAATACTCACTTCACTGCATACCCCCAAAGGTACATGTACCCCAGCTTGAGCAACTCTTTGTACAGCAAGTTTCTTAACAGCCAGGTGTACACTTTGCAAATCCCTGTACTGTGAAAGGCTATTATAAGCTCTTCTCTTCTGATTAGCGTTGACCCTTAGAAAACTCCCTCCATGGTCTGTCCTTCCTTAGTGAAGCCCCAGTACCAAACAGAGCCTAACTTAAAAGGAATTTGTTCTGTTGAAGGGAGAGGAATAATCGATTCTCCAGAACCAGAGAGTAAACATATGAAAATCAAGAACACTCAGTTGAGGAAAGACATGGTCAACGCTGACGTGGTTATTATGGGATATAAATGGAGAGTCCATTAGATAGGCAGAATGTACAGGATGCTCATCAGTTCATCGGAGCAATAGCAAAGCAAAGGGAATGGTTAAGAACACATAAGCCAGCAAGATAACAATGCAAACTGGCCGTTTATTTAAAAACAATGATATCATTTTCTAAGGCTGAAAGTTAGACACTTTCCCAACAAAAACAATTATCTGCAGTTGTCATGGCGGGGCCCTGTAGGAGGGCCGTGATCTCCTTAAGACCCCCTCTCCGTGTCAAGTTGGCCCAAGGGCACCCTCTGTTTCTCGCCCGTCACATCTTTGCTGTTAGATAAGGTTGGGAGGCTGCCTTATGCCCTCTCGGACACATCTCTCTGTTGACTCAGACCCTGTGGTTTTCCCGGACTCCTTGTGGGTCTCCTCCTGCAAATGGGTGCTTTGGGGCACCCTAGCCTTATGGGCTATGCGTGGCTCCAACCACCCCTGATACCACGCCCCAAGCCTCGCAGATGGAATTGACATTGGTCTGTCTCTCTGTCTATATTCACGCCCGTCTCCCGGGCCTTCTCTGGTGTGCGGCCCCCTCCTGGGGTTCTCCGAGTGCTGCCCCCTTCTCTGGGGCCTTCTCTAATAAGGCACTCCCCTCTTCAGGGCTCGCCGTGCCCACCTTGGGCTTCTTAAAATGCTGCCCTCCTCCTGGGGGCTCGTTGTGCCCAACTTGGGCTTCTCTAAGTTGCCCCCTTCCTGGGGCTCGTCACGCCCGCACTGGGCTTCTCAATCGTGCCCCCTCTCTGGGGCTGGGGTCTAAGCACCCTGTAAGCTGCGCCTTCCTGGGTGCCAGCATCCTCACACTCCGCTGTGAGGCCCCTTTAAGAATACTGCACCCTCACTGGCGTCGGGGTCCTCACACTCCGTTGTGAGTCCCCAATGCAGCCTCCTCCAACCCCTTATAGCCTCACCCAAACCACCAGTGTAATAAACAGCAACACAAACTCGAGCCTCCTGGCTATAACTTAATGTAAAGCCACCTGGCTAAACCACGTTGCACAAAACGCACTAGAACTGCCATCTATAACTCTGCTCAAGCAGTACCTGCGGGTCTCGCTGCTTCTCACATCCCTACTCCAGGAGCTCCTGCCTCTCTGGCTGCTGGCAGAGAACTGCCAGCTTGGCCTCAGCCCTGGGCTTTATAAGAGCCAGCCTCTGCTTCCTACAGGCAGCTGACCACTGGCAGGTGTGGGTCATTTGCTCCCTCCAGTTGCCCCGGCAACCCACAGGTGGGCTCCTATTCCCTGCTAGGGCTCCCTATGTACTGCCAGAGCTTTTCCTCTGGCAGTTTCTGCCCTCTAGGAGCAGGGCACCTCAGTGCTCTGTGACAGCAATAAAGAGGGGACATCAAGTTTACAACTGTTCATTCAGTTTCCATTTAGGGCACTCAACTGGTAATTTCAGTGCCAAAATATGAAACTGGGACCATAACTTGAGGTAGATAAACCTGAAGTAGTAGTTTACTCGTCAGTGAAAGAGGATTACTATGGGTAAAAGAATGCACACAGACAGTTGACATACAGCAGCTGACACCTGCTAAATCCCCACCACCTTTTACATGGTAATTAATTTACCTGTACATAGCCATAAGGACCCATTTCCAAAAGCTAAACTGCAATTGCTGTCATGTGCATGGTCACACAGTATAGTGCATTTAACTGAAATCTGTTTTCAAAACAGTATGTTATTTTTGTCGTTTTTATCTTTAAAAACAAGAATAGAAATAATATTTTATTTGAACTGTGCTACTTTGCTATACTTAGCTGATGTGTTTGTTGTTTCAGCAATGTCAAGCTACCTCTTTATTATTAAATATGAACTTCCTGAAGTAATCAGAACATTTCTACGGCTAGAAGAGAATTCTGGGTATATTTTTTGCATTTTTTTAAAATTTAAATGGCAATATTCCATTTAACCTGAGCAAAAATGACTGTGTTTTTTCCTTTCCCTCTTCAGAGAATGGTACCTAAACGGTAACTACCTCGTTATATTTGTGACAGTCGGAGTAATTCTTCCACTTTCTCTTCTAAAAAGCTTAGGTAAAACCATTTACCTATTGAAAACGTGTCATACATTTTCTTCCATCACTAACTGATCTGAATTTACATGTGGTTTAACTGCATTTTTTTTTCTCGTTTCAAAGGTTATCTTGGCTATACAAGTGGATTTTCACTATCCTGCATGGTTTTCTTCCTAAGTGTGGTAGGTAGCTGTATGGCATATATCACTAGCTATCTGGAAAAAATGGCATTTTAAATAATAGGGTGACTTTATATATTTTCCTGTATTTATAATTACCATTTAATATTTATATTACTGTAACCCCTAAAAGTCAACTTCCTGGAGGGTGTGTCACACTAGGCAGTACATGTAATAGTACTTACTTGATCCAAACAGTTTGCAATCCAAAAAAAGATAATGGGAAATGAGACTAAAGCCAGGTCAAGGCTGAGGATGAAGTCAGATTAACAGAAATAATGGGTTGTACACTGCTTTTAGCCAAAACGGAGACAATAATCAGTTAATCACACCCTGGCCACCTTCAAATTTAACAGTTAAAACTGAAAATAATAATCACCCCTTCAAAGTTGGACCCTTGTGAGGATATATTCTATTCTGATTGTAGGTCATCTACAAGAAATCCCAAATACCTTGTCCAATCCCTTCCCTGGAAAATGCTGTTGGAAACTGGACCTACAACAATAACACAGTTCCGATGCACTTGGTAATGTTACCAAATGAGTCTGCTTATTCTGGAGTGAATTTCATGATGGACAACACACGTGGACATACTACAGGTCTTGAAGAGGCAGGAGACCGTCTACCCAAAAGTGGAGTGGAGTATGAAGCCCACAGTGAAAGTGATGACATGTGCAAACCACAATATTTTGTGTTTAACTCACGGGTAAGTTAGATTCCATGGAATAATTATATGGCCATTAACTGCAACCTGAACACAAGAGATACAATAGGGAATGCTCTTGGTAAACACACAGTGGATGTTTTGTTTTTCAGACTGCCTATGCAATACCCATCTTGGCATTTGCATTTGTGTGCCACCCTGAAGTGTTACCAATATACAGTGAACTTAAAGAGTAAGTTGTTTTTTTTAATTGTTTCACCCTTCAATCATTAACCCAAGAAAAATTGTCAGGATCACTTCATAATGAGGGGCATCCTCATTAATCAGCAACATATCAATTCATCTATTCATCACATTCCATAGTAATCAAATATTGATTCTGATTATTGAATAATAAGCACATATTGATGATGAAACATAAATCACAAGCATTGTTCTAAGATTCATGTAGGCCAACATGTACCTTAAGAGACAATATCTGTATTCTGGCTTTCAGAAATATTTCAGAGAAGAAATTTTGAGAACACTTCTGTTATGGTAATATAAATAACATAAAAATAACATCTAAAATACTGCTGGAATTGTAACACCTAAAAACATGCTAATGAGCCAGGCCCTAATCCTTCAGCTAGGTCAGTTAATGCTCACTCTTAAACCTTTCTGGAATGAAATTTATTCTAAATGGACATAAGAGGCTGCTCTGAAGGATGTGGCAACAAGAATAAGATTTGTATCAAGTAACAAAAGTGTTCTTATACAAATTGATTGGCTGTAGCATTACTTTGGGGAAAATTGGTGATTCACAAGAATCCAATCAGGTAGAGTATTTTCCAGAATGCAACTGTGTTTTATATTGCTCCCTAACTTAGTATAGTTGATCTCTGAGGAAGTAGGTCTATTTGTGCCTCAAATTCCCTGCAGTCCCAGTTTAGGATTTTCTCATAACAATTTTAACTGATTGATCACTTAGAGAGGAATTGTTCTTACCTGCTCTGTAGTAGATCACAGACCCTGCAGCAAGGTTCTCCCTCAGTGTAGGGCTTTGCTTATGCAGATGAAACCGCTGGATTAAAGCCTAGAATTATGATCAATGATTTTTTAAGTTTTAAGACCTACACTTTATCAAGAAAACTGTTCAAAGTTTATGTTATATAACAAGTAAATATAATAAAATGTATTTAGTTATGTTACCACTGTCAAATAAGAAATGGAAATAAAATCTTGATATATACCAGTGATCCTGAGCTGTTCTATATAGTGTGATACAGAGATTTGAAACAAAAAGTTTTAAAACTCATATGACTTTTTATAACATTGATTTAAATTGAGTTGCTTTGAATTCACCAACTAGCGAAGTAATATTAGCAGAATACTTCACTAATAGCTTAGACTTTTTCTAGTAGACAATGTATAAATATAAATAACCTTTACATGTATAAATTTAAATAAACTTTACAAACAATTTGCACTATTATTCTTTTCCTACCCCAGCCGATCACGAAAGAAGATGCAGAATGTTTCAAACTTATCCATCACTGGAATGCTCATCATGTATCTGCTTGCTGGTCTGTTTGGTTACCTTACCTTCTACGGTGAGTTAATGGCATGTTCTCTGTAGAAATTTCCCTCTTCTTTCAGAGATTAACATTAAGAGTTGTATGTCTCTTGATTTTGAGCATTCAATAAAGAAATAGCCCTAGATGTCACACTTTGACTTGGCCAAATTAAACAAAGCTAGCTGTGTTAGAAATACACTAATGCTCAACAAGTATATAGCGCTTTTGCTCTACATCTTACACCAGTGCTACCACTGGTTGAGCTTCAACTTTGCAAAAACATCTTAATGAAAGTGTTCTAGTATAGAATGTTACTGGGACTACAGAGACCATCTGGTGTATAGACAGTGGTCTATATATATTACAGCTGCTACATTCAGTGTCACTTTGCATCTTTTTTTTCACCTTTTTTAATTCCCCCATGATAGCACAGAGGCACAGTGGCACAGAATAGTTAGTACCGGGCGCATCTACATGAGATACTTTACTGAATAGCAGACTAATTGCTGAGCAGTAAAGTGTCACAGTCTATGCATGTGCGACTAACTGTGCTGCCGGATAGTCCCATCAGGTACAAGTGGTATGCGGCAGTGCAGTAAATTACTGCACTTAAACACTCATGTAGAAAGTGATGTTGAGATTAATTTACTCTGGCTCAAATTGAGCCAAAGTATATTCAGTCACATTAATTGCACATGTAGATGCATGCACTGAGCATCAGTACTGCTCATGGGCTCCCTTTTCAAGCGCAAGTGCCCACTTCAGTTTAATGGATAGGTTGCCAGTCTGGAAGCTGGCAGTTTTTCTCCCAGCTTTGCACTTTAGGTTCTGGTTCAGGAAAGCTATTTTACCCCTCTACTCCTCAGATTCAGACTCTGTTCCTTAGTTTTCCCATCAGTAAATTGAAGGTAATATACTACTTACCATGTGTGTAAAATAAGTTGGGGTCTCTGAATGAGAAGTATCATCCAAAAATGAAGTGCTATAACTACCATCATCACTTCTACCATGGAAAAGCTGCCTTTGCACACTCTGAGGGAAATTGGTTTCTTTGTGTTTAATCAATAACACACAACTGACTACAGAGGGAAGGTCATGGCTTCATTGGTTTCACTAAATTATAAAATCTTCATTTTGAGACTGGTGATTTTAATGAATTTTCATTTTCCTTTGGCAGGAGAAGTTGAAGATGAATTACTTCATACCTATACCAGAGTGTACACTTTTGACACCCTTCTTCTGATGGTTCGTGTAGCCGTGCTAGTAGCTGTAATGTTGACTGTGCCCATAGTCCTTTTTCCTGTAAGTAACCAGAACTTTTGGACATGAAATCTGGGCAGCCTTTGTAGGCAAAGTATATTTAACAACACTTACATTGTTATTAAATAGCATTTAACAGTTAATATTTTTATCAAATAGTATTTACATTGTTACAAATGTTATTTACTACAGTATAGTAAATAACATTTACACTGATTAAATCCTCTTTAATGTTTACAAGCACTAAACCCTAAGACTTCTTTTGTATACTTTTTCTGTTTTCTCCTTTATTTTACCCTTGGGGCAAGGTCATCTGCTTCTGGGTAATTCAGAGAATATAACATTAAAGTAGTGCAATGACACCTAAAGAACTCCTATTTAAGACATTGCCACACTCCCTACATACTGTATTTGACAGATTAGC